TTATAGTCATATGGTAAAATTTATATTTTTAATTGTGTAACGTTACGTTCAAAATAACTACAAAATGTCATGCCTTTGAAAAAATAAAGGGAACAACAGAATGCGCAGCTTTAGCGCGTCTCGGTCTCCTTGAGCTTCTTTCTGGAGCATGCCACAAACATGAACCACAGCGAATACTCGTCTTTTAAAAGGCTTCATTTAGATTATTTTACATTAAATGCATCATATAAATCACTTTGGAATAAATCACAGTAGGCCTATGTATCATGATAAAAAAAGCGACTTTACAGTCTGGAAATACTTTAGGCTATAGCAAATTATTTCTTGGACCCCCGATCACTTTAAGAACTGCTGGTCTACACAGAAGAAAGCCCTGTCCAGACTCGGTATGAGTTGTGTCGAGCTATTCGTTAGTCTGTTTGTTTGATGAAAATTTTGAAATTGATCAAATGGGTTATTAATCCGTACAACTGCAGCAGCTGAGGACTATTATTCTGCTGCATGATACTGCGGAACTGATGACGGCACGGTTTGATCTTCGGCTGACCAATCAGCAGAAAGGGGGGTTTAATTCCCGCCCACGTGTAGAAATCAAATATTCAAGCTGTTTATTCATTTTCCCACCCATGAACGAAAAACTTAAATTTAAGCTGAATTCTCGTTTTTCGTTTTTAGGAAAAAAACAAAAAAACGAAAAAGGAGCCGTTTTCTCATTTTTTTACTTTCAATATTAAATCAAAAAACGAATGATCGAATGATACACGGATTAGAGAGGAAGACATCTTTATCATATTCAGAATCAAGTTGGGGTTGAAAGAGTTAATTTTGGTAGTAGCCGAGAAGATACAATCATTACCAGACTTTGCATTGGCCATACTGCTTTAATAAGCATGAGTCTGAGAACTGTAGTCTGTGTGGATTACCAGAAACAGTAGAGCATGCACCATTATATTGTTCTGCTTATGATAATGAAAGAGCATTTCTGTTGGAATAGGGATAGAAAATATTACACTTAAAACTCTTGTAGGATAATGACTTGAATCATTATAAAATATATAATGCTTTAATGACATACTTAAAAAAAGTAGATATGTTTAACAGGATTTAGAAGGTTTTTTTTAATTTTTAATTTTATTTGATTTAGTTCTTCCTATTCCATCAATGGTCTCCAGCCCAGTAAGTGGCGGGAATGCACCTATCGTTGGTTTGCCAACCGCCATAAAACTCCAAAAGAAGAAGAAGAAGAAGAAGAAGGTGAGACGTCACGAGCGTCAGTGGCGACGTGGAGACGCAGAGCTAAAAGAGTCAATACAGCGTCAACATCCACTGTAAAACACACTTTACTGGACGTTTACCATCACGAATTCTAACTCATTTAGTATTCGTCTGAGGATACAAAGGCGCCTGTCCAGCGGACCGCAAGTGGCTTTTCTGAGGCGCTGTCAAATCTGACATTCATCAAGTAAGTGATGATGCATATTAGCATGGAAGCTAACGTGTTTACAATGGATTTCTCCGTTCACTCCAGTCTGCAGGCTAATTGTTGCTAAGTGTATAGCTACCTGGATACTTATTAACTTCTACATTGGCATACCGAGAAATAGTCGTATAAATCGAATGATACACGGATTAGAGAGGAAGACATCTTTATCATATTCAGAATCAAGTTGGGGTTGAAAGAGTTAATTTTGGTAGTAGCCGAGAAGATACAATCATTACCAGACTTTGCATTGGCCATACTGCTTTAATAAGCATGAGTCTGAGAACTGTAGTCTGTGTGGATTACCAGAAACAGTAGAGCATGCACCATTATATTGTTCTGCTTATGATAATGAAAGAGCATTTCTGTTGGAATAGGGATAGAAAATATTACACTTAAAACTCTTGTAGGATAATGACTTGAATCATTATAAAATATATAATGCTTTAATGACATACTTAAAAAAAGTAGATATGTTTAATAGGATTTAGAAGGTTTTTTTAATTTTTAATTTTATTTGATTTAGTTCTTCCTATTCCATCAATGGTCTCCAGCCCAGTAAGTGGCGGGAATGCACCTATCGTTGGTTTGCCAACCGCCATAAAACTCCAAAAGAAGAAGAAGAAGAAGAAGAAGGTGAGACGTCACGAGCGTCAGTGGCGACGTGGAGACGCAGAGCTAAAAGAGTCAATACAGCGTCAACATCCACTGTAAAACACACTTTACTGGACGTTTACCATCACGAATTCTAACTCATTTAGTATTCGTCTGAGGATACAAAGGCGCCTGTCCAGCGGACCGCGAGTGGCTTTTCTGAGGCGCTGTCAAATCTGACATTCATCAAGTAAGTGATGATGCATATTAGCATGGAAGCTAACGTGTTTACAATGGATTTCTCCGTTCACTCCAGTCTGCAGGCTAATTGTTGCTAAGTGTATAGCTACCTGGATACTTATTAACTTCTACATTGGCATACCGAGAAATAGTCGTATAAAATGAATATTTAACCATATTCTAGTTATCTTGTCTTGTTGTAAAAAATCTGTGAAGTAAGTAACGTTAATTTGACAGTTTCTGGAAAGCAGTTAGCTGAGGAAAGCCCAATCTGTCAAAGTAAATGAACAAGCTAAATTAAGTTTTTTACTAATCAGTCTTCACTAACTGTGTGAACTCATTGTTAGTCTGTTTATATTAGAGATATTTTATCTATACATTGGAGAATTTGTGTTTATTGTATTGTAATGTGCACGTTGTACAGACTATAGTCTAAACTTTGCAAGTCCTGCAGGGGGTTTTATTCTGTAGACGTTTCCTTGTATTCTGTAGGCCATTCATTGGGTGTTTACCTGTAGTCTTTTGTCACCTGTAATGGTGATAGCAGTGCTGGATTGCATTGAATTAATTATTGGTTTCAGTCTGTGTTTACAGTAACACTTAAACAATGAATTCTCAAGATTTTGTGCACCATTGCATCATGATTGTTTGTGCAAGTGTGGTGGAAGGGCTTAACAAAAATCCACTTAATAGTCTTAAAATAATCATTTTATTTATGCAAACATAATGTCACATTTTCTTTAGGACAAATATATTCTGTAATTGTTTCTTTCAGATTATGGGGTGACATATGATTTGATTTCAACATATCATATTGATTTCTAAATGTAAATGTTGTTGGATTGGTTGGAAAATGATTATTGTGAGTCAGTGGCTGCACCCTGGCGGCGTGTGTGAGCCACAGACGTGATTCCACCTGAAGGTGTAAATGAGCCTTCTTGTAAGTCAAGAGAGTTCACACCATCTTCTGTGATCACTTGATATGAACCAGGATGTTTAACCAAAACCTCCACCTTCTGAGACACGATCTCACAATCCACATCAGGGAATGTGGAGCGATGGCACGTTAACAGTGTGTGTAAAGGGTGTGTGCTTAACAAAGAGGTGTGTGTAGGGCTCAGTGTCTACCCATCAGACCCGTTTCATGTGTGTTGATGACTCTTGCTAAAGCGTATAGTTTAGTGTAATAATCAGGTGTAAGTTTAGATTGAAATATTCTTCATTAGGTGACTGAAAAACAGGCCTCATTAGTGGAATCTAATGAAAACGTGTTTCTCCCATGATCCTCCAGGTTTCGCTCGGCTGATGATGAGGCTCTGAGGAAGTCTCTGGTGGTTTCCGCGGGCGATGGGTGCAAACACCAGTCAGGTGAGCGACCTGTCAGAGAGCCAGAGCATCCGCACTCTGATTGGTCCAGACGCCATATCCGAGAATGAGCCCTTCTGGAACCAGCTGATCTCATTCACCTTCACCAGCCCCACCTGCAGGTGAGGCGCTCCTCCGACCCCCATCACTGATGTCCCACACACTCACATTCATTCAGACGCAAACTTGTCACCTTTCAGTGAAAATTTGCCTCCAAAATAGGTCATTTGTGTGATTTGAGAAGATCTGATGAGTTGTTTAAGTAAGTGTGTGTGTGTGTTGGGGGGGGGGGGGGGGGGGGTCTGCGAGGAATCACAGACGATGAGTATTTTCAGTGTCTCAGAGTGACTCGATCGATTCGCAGTAAATGCTGCTCCACACGAGTGAACAAACGCTGTGAGTTTGAATCTTGCATTTGAAGATGCGTTGTGCCAAAAATCTTCCCAAATGTGTAGTCAATAAAAAGGTCTCTGGGTTAAAAAAGCTCTGTGGGTACTGTTGGAAAGCAAAGAAATGAAATGAATGTTTGTAATTTTACTGTTCTTCTGTAAAATAAATTTACAGTACAATTGTGTCATTGCTAGTAATATATTTCCATATTGATTTGTTTAATGTTTAAAATTTTATAAAATAATGTTGTTAATATTATTATTATTATTATTAATAATAATGGTAACAATAGGGAAATTGGATGGCTTCCATTAAAAACAACAGTAAATGTGTAAAACTCTCTCCAAGATCATTCACTGTTCCCATTATTATACTTGATTTGTAGATAAATGTCTATGATTTTGCAAAAAAGGACTTTATCTAAATCTAAATATTTTTCATTGTGAAGCGCTGTGCACTGTGAGTCGGTGTTGCTTCAAGCGTGTCTTTCTGTGCATCGGATGCGCATACTGTAAGCGCTTTGTGCCGCATGGCATTTGTTTTGTCCTATCTATCATATGTTGTTGCCTCATTAAAATAATGTGCTATACATTCAAAAGAAATGTCTTAGTTTTATTGTTTATATTAATATATTGTTTTTCATGAATGGATTTTATAACAATATAAATAGCAATGTGTAACATTTACTACACTTTTATTTGTTCCCCACTAAATAAATGTTCATTGAGTACGATACCACGGTAACTGACTCTTGAGTATAAGTTACCTCTCTTTCAGAAACGGGCTTGACTTACCCTGCTTTCTCGGGTTTGATAAACCTCCCATTCTGTAACGGAAAACCCAGAGTTTCCCTCATTTCAGGTTTAACATACTCCATTTTCACTTAACCTCCTTTCTGAAACGGGACCCTGATACTGTTTCTGCTGTTTATATGGAAAGTTAATCTAGATGGATAAAGTTGTTTTCTGAGTCTGTTATGCTGCATGTTGTCCATCATATTTAGTGCTTTTCCTGTTATAGTTAACTGCTCATGTAACAGTTGCACCTGTTTCTGTCTGAAGATGTGCGCTGATGTCGTGAGCTCAGGCTCATCTTCTGCTCTCTCAGTGTGGTTATATGAGGGACGAACACCAGAGGGAGGCAGAGAATCTCTCATCACAATCACTGTTTCAGCATCTCTTGCTTTTATAGAAATGTTCATGCACATTATGATATGATTAAAGGCACTTTGGTGTTTCGTGTCATTTCACACAAATCCCTCGTTTTCGTTGTTAACAGTTTAACACGTTTGTGACCCTGGAGCACAAAAGCAGTGTTAAGTCGCTGGGGTATATTTGTAGCAATAGCCAAAAAAACATTGTATGGGTCAAAATTATTGATTTTTCTTTTATGCCAAAAATCATAGAAGATCTTTTGTAAATTTCCTACCGTAAATATATCAAAACTTAATTATTGATTAGTAATATGCATTGCTAAGAACTTCATTTGGACAACTTTAAAAGCGATTTTCTCAATATTTAGATTTTTTTTCACCCTCAGATTCCAGATTTTCAAATAGTTGTATCTCAGCCAAATATTGTCCTATCATAACAAACCATACATCAATTGAAAACTTAATTATTCAGCTTTCAGATGATGTATAAATCTCAATTAAAAAAAATTGACCCTTATGACTGGTTTTGTGGTCTCAGTCTGTGTGTTAAAATGGTGATTTCTGATGTCTTGGCCTTCTCAGCTGTATCTAATAAAAATCATACAGACATATTAGACATAATCGGTTGAATTGTTGTTCAGTTCATTGCAGTAAGTGTAAAGTATTTTCACTGAACTACTTTTAATAATTTATCCGTGCCCTGCATTTTGTATGCATGCAACCTAGAGTTAGAATAATGACCTGATTTACTTTATGAAAGTTTATTTATTATTAATTATTTATTGAACAGCTTTCCTTTATCATATCGCTGTTGCCACTGTTTTATAAATGTAGTAAGTGAGGCCGTATTTCACACTGACTTGACTGCAACACTCACATCTCTTGACCATCTTAAATTCACTGTAAACTGCTTTTGATATTTCTCCCATCTGACGATTATCTCTCTGTCTCTGTATTTGCAGTGCTGATGCTAAACTCCTGGAGGAGGCTGTCGTCCCGCTGGCTAAGACTCTGAGTATGTGTGTTTGTATAATTTACTGCTGCTTCATTACAGCCGTCTGTACAAAGAGACGCACGCTGATTTCAAACCCACTGTCTTGTGAAATAAGGGTCTGTAATTTCAGGCCCTGTGTGTGCATAAAGCCACATGATTCAAATGATTAGCAATCCTAAGCCAGCTCTGCTTTTATGATGTGCTGTATGTAATTTATTGAGTTCACAAGGATCTTTAATGCATTCTGTTGATCTGGTTAAGTAGCTCTTATCACGAACACCCTAAAGATGGTCAGCGATGTCTTGTGTTTTTGATCATCTGTCTGTCCTTTATAGTTCAGAACAACCCCAGGTCTGGGAACTTCGGGGCGCTGGTGAGAGTTTTTCTCAGCAGAACCAAAGAACTGAAGATTTCCACAGAATGCCAAGAGTAAGTTAAATATGTCTTCAATAATGTGTGCATATCAGAGTCGTATGTATTTTTAAATGTTCATAAAAGCTGAATAATATGAGGACATACAGTATCTAAAACCTGTTGCATGAAAACTGAAGTGTACTCCACTCTAATTCTCATTCACTTTTCTCCATGAATGGTGCATTTCCACAGTTATCCACATTGTTAATCTAGTGCAAATTTTCTTTAAAAAATTTAAAGTACATTTATAACACTATATTTTGTGTTTTATTATATTTCCATTAAATTACAAGAAACAAGTTAACACTGCTGACATCTTTCTCTCTTCTGACCACCTTAATCAATCTCTGGATATTATTTTTACCTCTTTTGGAAAGTCATAGAAATGCTACCTTGGCTTTTTTTTTAATTTGCTGTTGGGGCAAATGGGAATGCAAAAAAATTATATTTGTTGTAGTTTCCATTCACCACTGTAGAAGTTTATCCAGTTATGACGACTTTTGCTTCTGAGAACCTGGAAATATAAAATATTTTTTATAAGTTTCATAATGTTATATTTAAAAGTTTGGCTTATTCTATTTTTATTTATTTGCACATTCCATGTTTATGCATCAACCAGATACATGTTTTTGTAACTTTTCTGTGTCCTAAATTTAGCAGAAAGTTAAGTGTTTATTTTTTGATTTTTGCATGAAAATGTTTTTGCACACTGAAAAGTTTTCACAATATCCATTTTGTTCAATACACTTAAATATTACGTTGCCATATTTTTCAAAGGTCAAATGACATCAGTTAGTATGATTTTAGATCTTTTGGTAGTCATCAGTGTTCATTTAGTATCATTGAGATACTATTAATATTTTAAGTTATTTTTGTATTTTCTCTTTTGTAGTTACATTTTTAGTAATTTTGCGGTGTTTGTAATTTTTTTTTATAAATATGTTTACACAGATTTTAGAATTTTTTTTATCATCAAGTTAAACTAAATGCAAATAAGAAATGTTCCTTAAATAAATAAGAGTAAATAGCTGAAATAAAATAAGTTTAAAAATAAAATAAGCAAATTTTTTCATATTTTATTTCAGTTAACAATAATGTGATTTTATTTCAAGTAACACATTTTTTTTTTAATGTAATTGAGATACTATTAATATTTTAAGTTATTTTTGTATTTTCTCTTTTGTAGTTACATTTTTAGTAATTTTGCGGTGTTTGTAATTTTTTTTTATAAATATGTTTACACAGATTTTAGAATTTTTTTTATCATCAAGTTAAACTAAATGCAAATAAGAAATGTTCCATAAATAAATAAGAGTAAATAGCTGAAATAAAATAAGTTTAAAAATAAAATAAGCAAATTTTTTCATTGAGATACTATTAATATTTTAAGTTATTTTTGTATTTTCTCTTTTGTAGTTACATTTTTAGTAATTTTGCGGTGTTTGTAATTTTTTTTTATAAATATGTTTACACAGATTTTAGAATTTTTTTATCATCAAGTTAAACTAAATGCAAATAAGAAATGTTCCTTAAATAAATAAGAGTAAATAGCTGAAATAAAATAAGTTTAAAAATAAAATAAGCAAATTTTTTCATATTTTATTTCAGTTAACAATAATGTGATTTTATTTCAAGTAACACATTTTTTTTTTAATGTTATTTTTAGTTAACAATAATAACCCTGGTAACAATTTGTATACAATGTGTACAAAGTGAATCTGACAATTTTCAGTAAACATAATGGGTTTTGTGTGTGAAAGTAGCTATTGAGATTTGTTTGTGGTTCTCCGATGCTCAGAAGCTCTGTGAGATTGAGAAATATATTATTTTTAAGCATCTTTTCCCACACAGGCTTTCTGACATTCACTAGTCACTCAGGACTATACCGTTGTTTTCTGACATGATTTTCCCATGGGAATAGTTGTGCAGCCCACGGCGTCACACACACACACACACACACACTGCCAGAGCTGATGTTTGTGCTGAAAGTGTTGCTGTAGCATAAATCCAGAGCAGGGAGTGACCCACCACTCCTACATCGCACACATGTGAACCGTCAGCCTGAGAGAATATTTATGATCTGCTCTGATCTGAACTGTGCAGAGATCAAACCCTCAGAGTCACACTTCTGATCCAGGGTCAGCTGATGCACTCCAAAAAAACATTAAGGCCTTGAACTAAGATTTATGTATTTGAATTGCATCTCAAATTTTCATACATTTAGATTACACAGTTTAAATGTAAACAAACTAATGAACTTAATGTAGTGCATATTTGTCTGTCATACAGAAATTAGACGGGTCAGATTTCTGTCATAATACTAATAAACTAAATGTGTTTTAAATACACAACAACCTGATGCTCAGAAGCTCTGTGAGATTGAGAAATATATTATTTTTAAGCATCTTTTCCCACACAGGCTTTCTGACATTCACTAGTCACTCAGGACTATACCGTTGTTTTCTGACATGATTTTCCCATGGGAATAGCCGCGGTGCAGCCCACGGCGTCACACACACACACACACACAGCCAGAGCTGATGTTTGTGCTGAAAGTGTTGCTGTAGCATAAATCCAGAGCAGGGAGTGACCCACCACTCCTACATCGCACACATGTGAACCGTCAGCCTGAGAGAATATTTATGATCTGCTCTGATCTGAACTGTGCAGAGATCAAACCCTCAGAGTCACACTTCTGATCCAGGGTCAGCTGATGCACTCCAAAAAAACATTAAGGCCTTGAACTAAGATTTATGTATTTGAATTGCATCTCAAATTTTCATACATTTAGATTACACAGTTTAAATGTAAACAAACTAATGAACTTAATGTAGTGCATATTTGTCTGTCATACAGAAATTAGACGGGTCAGATTTCTGTCATAATACTAATAAACTAAATGTGTTTTAAATACACAACAACCAGGTTTATATAGGTATCATCAATAAATCCAATTTGTTTCAATCTATTAGTTAAATAATTCAGTACTGCTCATTCCACAGCTAGATTTGTTCATACAAAATGAGCACATGTATATTTATGGAAAGGAGAAGAATTGCCTGTATGTGGTTTTGTGAAGTCTTTTGTAAGTCTTTACTGTAAACTAAAGCATATTTTAATAGATTGTCCTGCATACATTTTTTTCCCCATTGTTTTATTAAATTCATTGAGATATTATGAAGATTATTTTCATTCTTAGTGTTTTACAGTTTTTTTTGGAGCCTTGAATATAGCTTTTGATGCTGATATGGCGTAAAATAAAAAATAAATCCTCTTAAATAAATCTTACCCATTTTATTTATATATGACTGACAAATAAGCATCAAATTAAGTTTATAGTTTGTTCAAATGTGTCATCCTGTGTCTGTTTGTGTGTGTGTGTGAGTGAGTGAGAGATGTTCAGCCACAGTTCACAGGCTGCTGTAGGTCAGTAATTATCTATGACTCTCTCTCTTTCGCTCTCTCTAGTCAGCTGTTCATCTGGCAGGCCCATAATGCTTTGTTCCTGGTGCGCTGTTTGCTGAAGGTCTTCATCCGAGAGATGAGTGAAGAAGAGCTGCACTTACAGTTCTCCTACCAGGAGAGGGTGCCGGGAACCTACGGTATCACACACAAACACAATTGGTGTTTGCTCATGTTAAATAATACATTTATATTTGCAGATGTTCCAAGAGGAAAGTTTTGTCAGATTTAACTTGCGTTCTGAGACCGTGTCCACTAGGGCTGGGCGATAGTGCTGGGGGCGGTATGACCAAAAATGTATATCATGGTATTTTTCAAAATTATACCGGTTTCACGGTACACAACGGTATTTTTTTTTTTCATGCATGACCGGGTGCATGACCATATCTTCTACTGATTGAGAGAGGAAATACTGCAGTATACTGACTAAGAATGAGTGAGAATGAGAAAAGAGTGAATAATGTCAAAAAATACCACATTAAATAGTGACTAAACATGACCCCTTTTAATACATGTTAACCAGGGGCGATAATATTTTTCATACCAGTCGATATCTATAATTATCACGATAAAGTTAAAATCTTTATTTTTCAAGTTTAAAGGCAGATTTTTGTTCCTAAGTTAAAGTTGTAGAAACCAGACTGTTAATTGTGTTAATGGTCAGAACATGACGAACACTTTACATTTTGAATTCTTTACACTTTTCCAGTCATTTTTCCTTAACAAAATAAATATCTTAATAGAAAAATGTATTTCTTAGTTTCTGCATTGATATTGTTTCAAATCATGAATCAGGTTTGTGTTCCTGACTTTGATGATGTGTATCTTCAGCACAGTTTGCAGTGCAGGCTGCAAATACTAATAATAATACTTTTTTTTTTTGTGTCTTAGAAATGCACATGTGACAGTAGCTTGAGTTGTCAGTAGCAGTAGCTTGATTTAGGATGCAGATGTAAATTTATGTTCATAATCAAAAACAGTAACACCTGTAAAAATTGTAACAACCTAGTTTTTATATGGTGAAATTTAATTAATTGGTCTTCCATAGTAGCATACATTTAGATCGTGATAACCACAGTTAAAACCTCAATACCATGGTAGAAATGTAACCATATGGTTTCTAGGTATTTGTATGAAAAACAGTAGTCTAAATACATTTAGTATAAATGCACAAACGCTATAGCTTAATCACACAAAATACTGTAATTCTATTCCATTACTCCTTTAATACATTTAATACATGTCTTCATTAATAATATAGGTAAATTCTATAAGAATATCTTACATTTGTGCCACAATACCATGGTGCAGTTAGTGTTACTACAGTAAATCCATGGTAAATGATGGTGATTTGTAGATTGAAAAGCTTCTTGACTGTCTCATTGCTCACAGTGTTTCTGCTGTTTGTCAGCGCTGTTTCATCTGGCTCTAAACTAGTTTAGTCGCTTCACATTGGATCTCACAGCTGTTTAGAGTCACATAACTGAGACTCATCAGCGAGTAATGCATCTGCTCCAGTGAGCTCACGCTGCGCTGTGCTGCTGTTTGAACTCTGAGCCGAGTGGATAAATGGTCATAAATATAATAAACATTATATCGAACATTTATCAAACCCGTGTTATCGTTTTATTGAAGAAAATTATATCTCGATAATTATTGTTATTGTTTTATCGCCCAGTCCTAGTGTCCACTAAGTATAGCTGTATATATAGTTGTTGTTGTTTTTTTTGGTTAAGCTAGTTATAATAACTCCAGACAAACGCTAACTCTAACTTTGTCATTTTAACTTTTTTTTTATTTATAAATATTGCTATTCATTTAGGTTTAATTTAGGTTAAACTTTTATTTTTAGTTTTTATTTATGTATAGTACATTTCTAATTTTTAGTTTTGCTTAGTCTAGTATTTATATATTATTTCAGGTTCATTTTAGTGAATTAAAATGTTTTTAATAATTTTAGTTATACATTTAGTTAACGAAAATAACAAATAACAATATAACGATTAACGGCACATATTTCCCATGTTTAACTTGACAAAAGCAGATGCAGTTAGTGTTTTGAAGGTCTGTTTCTGTATCAGAGTAAGACAAGTTTGAGACGGGCCTGGGTATATGTCCTGATCTTGTTCCTCCTCCAGTGTCTTCTCTCCAGTGCACTTATTGATAATAATGGCCAAAAGGCAAAAATAAACGCACTAGAGCATCTGTGTGTGGCAAAGACTCTGATAGCTGGGTTTGGTCTGTCTGTCTGGCGATCCTGACAGCTTCTCAGTTGTTTGATGTCACAATCCTCAGTGCCGCCACGTCTGAGCATAAATGTCCTCTCTGACCAAACCGAATGAGCATCACACCTAAAGAAACTTCTCACAGACTGTATTTACATTACTAATGTGTCAGCATTCCCGTATTTGTCCTGACTGTGATGTGTGTGTGTTTACAGACTCCATCTGTAAGGATCTTCTGGAGGAGCTGGTCTGTAATTTGGTGCATCTCATTGTTGAAGTGCCGCTTCTGTGAGTACCGGAGAGGAACTGTGTGTGTTTGTTTTGTTCTGGATTTCTCTGTCTTGCAAATGCTGAGTGATAAAGTATGTCTCAGTGTGAGAGGGAGATGTGCGGGTGTTATTGTCGTGATATGGGATGGGTCTCTCACGTACAGTGTGTGAAGGGTCAACTCTGACTCAAATAATGAGGTGTCACTGTCATAATTTACATCAAACATTTGTTCATGAAGTTCTAAGAAGTTATAAGTAGGACTAACTAGCATCGTGCCACCTGATCCGTTTTCAAACTTGAACTCCATTTAAAGGGATAGTTCACCCAAAAATGAAAATTACCCCATGTTTACAATATCCATATTTAAAACTTTCTAAACCATAATCTCTAGCTTCTGCTAACTAAACTGTTGTACAAGCGTTCACTAGAGAGTGGCGATCCAGCGGATGACGTAGGATGTAGGTGTAGCATAAGCTCCGGTGAGAAGAGAGGAACGCAGAAGCTCAGAGGAGAGAGCAAAACAAAACACCGGTCACGAATTAGAAGTACAAAACGAGGATTTGTAAAGAAAAATGTTGTAGGATTTCACCCACTCCCACTCACTGCCATTATAAAGCTGGGAAGAGCCAGGACGTTTTTTAATATAACGCTGATTGTATTCATCTGAAAGAAGAAAGTCATACACCCAGGATGGTTTGAGGGTGAGTAAATCATGGGGCAATTTTTATTTTTTTGGTTGAACTATCCCTTTATACACTTAAAGTGAAACTGAAGAACAAATTGGTCTGACGTCATTTCGAACAAAATCAGACTAAAGCTACATTTGTTCATTTCATTTCAGGAGTTTGCCAAAGCATATTTAACCCACTCCCACTCACTGCCATTATAAAGCTGGGAAGAGCCAGGACGTTTTTTAATATAACGCTGATTGTATTCATCTGAAAGAAGAAAGTCATATACACCTAGTAGTGATGCGCGGATGGCAGTTTTATCCGCGGGCTCTGCGGATCGGGTGGGTCGGGTAATAAAAAAATACATTCTGATTATTTGCGGGTGGATAAAATAAGTCATTAATGATGCAAGTATTAACTACATTTTCTAAATTATGAACGTGTTTTAAATAGGCTACAGAAATTTAATAAACGGTAAATTAACATTAAAAGATATTCAACAAAACATTATTTAGTCAAGAGCAGTAAAGGATTTTCTCTGTCTTTTGTTGTTTGATTAACATTAATAAAAGATGGCACAGCTTTCTTAGGCTGCTGTCACAAGACCTATTTCAAGGATCCACACCTAGGATGGCTTTAGGGTGAGTAAATCATGGGCACATTTTTTTTTAATGGCCTGAGTAGCCTCAGGCCATTCAAGATGTAGATGAGTTTATTTCTTCATCCGAAAAGATTTGAATAAATGTAGCATCACATCAGTTGCTCATCAATGGATCCTCTGCAGTGAATGGGTGCCGTGGTAAATTAACATTAAAAGATATTCAACAAAACATTATTTAGTCAAGAGCAGTAAAGGATTTTCTCTGTCTTTTGTTGTTTGATTAACATTAATAAAAGATGGCACAGCTTTCTTAGGCTGCTGTCACAAGACCTATTTCAAGGATCCAATACTGATACCCATGCGTTTTATTTTGCAACTGTTTACATTCTTAAGACAAAACCGACAGTACTTTCTCAATTTGGTACTTGCAGTACGCGCTTTGGATGTGACTGTGAGCGCACGCGCCTCTAGAGAGCGCGAGTACCGAATGGCTTAAAAAGATGTGAAAATAATACATTTTTGTGACGATGCAACAATGACCGACAATTCCTTTAAAAAAACTTAAATGCTGTTTTTCCATACTCAATTTCCGGTTTTTGAAAGTTGCAGCGGTTTCTCCACTCTCCCTGAGTGCCCATGTGTCTCGTCAGACCTCGGTGTGACCCGCTGACATTTACACACCTGTGTGGAGGACACCTTCATGCATGAAGCCATGATTTATTGAGTGACGCCCCTTCACACACAGATAAACACAGCGGCACAGGAGTTCTGCATTTATTCAGTTCTCCTTCTGCGTGGTTCTAGTGTTTTTATGTATTTAAAGGACAGATTGATTTATCCGCTCTCATGAATGACGATCTGTTTGTCGTTTTCTAGAGCGTCCTTGTGTTCCACCCAGTTTATATGAAAACCGTATTAAAGGCAGATGAGTTGCGTGACGCTGATGATGTTGAAAAAAATGTTGATGGGTGTGTGTAAGTTTGTATCTCACCATTTAGCCTTTTAATTGCCCCTGTTTACCTTTATTAATACGCATTTGTGAGTTTATTAAACATGATTCATAAGTGCACATCATTCATTATAAAGAAGAATATTATAAAGTGCATTACAAGGAAGAAAACTCCTGATTAATACTTTTTTAAATTGATCATTCAAGTCATTGAATCTAGCGGTTAGTGCAGTCGCTCCAAGTTGGCAGGACATAAAGGTTCACATCTGGCTCGTCTTTGCACTGCCTGTATCAATGAATATGCCAGATATTACCTTCAAAACTTATGTCAGAAATTCCTTTAAAAAAACTTAAATGCTGTTTTTCCATACTCAATTTCCGGTTTTTGAAAGTTGCAGCGGTTTCTCCACTCTCCCTGAGTGCCCATGTGTCTCGTCAGACCTCTGAGTGACCCGCTGACATTTACACACCTGTGTGGAGGACACCTTCATGCATGAAGCCATGATTTATTGAGTGACGCCCCTTCACACACAGATAAACACAGCGGCACAGGAGTTCTGCATTATTCAGTTCTCCTTCTGCGTGGTTCTAGTGTTTTTATGTATTTAAAGGACAGATTGATTTATCCGCTCTCATGAATGACGATCTGTTTGTCATTTTCTAGAGCGTCCTTGTGTTCCACCCAGTTTATATGAAAACCGTATTAAAGGCAGATGAGTTGCGCGACGCTGATGATGTTGAAAAAAATGTTGATGGGTGTGTGTAAGTTTGTATCTCACCATTTAGCCTTTTAATTGCCCCTGTTTACCTTTATTAATACGCATTTGTGAGTTTATTAAACATGATTCATGTGCACATCATTCATTATAAAGAAGAATATTATAAAGTGCATTACAAGGAAGAAAACTCCTGATTAATACTTTTTTAAATTGATCATTCAAGTCATTGAATCTAGCGGTTAATGCAGTCGCTCCAAGTTGGCAGGACATAAAGGTTCACATCTGGCTCGTCTTTGCACTGCCTGTATCAATGAATATGCCAGATATTACCTTCAAAACTTATGTCAGACAACATTTGCATACAGACAGTCTTGACCAACGAAGAGACATAATTGAAAATGTTATATTGTGGATTTGATTAATTATGAATGGTAATGTGATCAGTTTGTTTGGGTCATGTTTTGCAATTTTTCATTTCTTATTTCATATTAATATTTTACATGTATTTATTTTAGTATTTGTATTATCTATCTATATATATGTTAAATGAATTGATTTTAATTATTTAATTTTATGCATTGTATAATGCATCATTAATGAATTCATATTTATTTATTATATATATTAATTCATTAAAACAATTTTTTTAATACATTTTTGGGTGAAATGTGACCTGGATATATTTGAGAATTGTGTGAGATTCACACAAATAGAATTATTTATTGAATACTTGTGTCTGTTACAATATTGTTGTTTCCATAGTTTTATAAAAACAATACAAGTTGCCTTCAAAAATAATAGATTACATAATAAAAAAGAGATTATCATCTGTGTTAGTCAACATTTGCATACAGACGATCTTGACAAATAAAGAGGCTGAGTTTGCAAATCAGAAAGCCTAACCAAGAAAGTGAGGAATGTCACGTAAAAAAGCAGGTTTGAAATAAAGTGTGTTATTTTTGCTGGTTCACATGTGAAAGTGGGTTGTGTGGTAGTTGTATTGTAACAGTTCAGTCTGCTGTTGTTGTCCCGTGTCTGTTTTTGTTGCCGTTTGTCTCGTTTCCTTGCTACGTGCTGAATGAGAGAAGTCAGGCGCGGGTCACATTCAGAGCCCCGGCTCGCTGGATCCTACGTGTTTTTGAGTGATTCTGTAGCTGGAGACAGGATTCTTATCGCGCTGTTGTGAAGGATATTGTGAAATTTAGCTCAAATTACCACACAGATCAAAACAAGAAATAGAAACGCTGCAGAGACACGGTACAGTAGAGCGTTTATACTGTGCAAGATGATGTTTCTGATCAACCAGAAACCATTTACATGTTGTTCCAAGCCCATAAAAGTGTAAAACACAAAAGATAACGTTTAGCTGCTCTTTTTCATACAATGAAAATATACATACAATGAAAGGATATAAATGCACCATGAAGGAAGTCCATATGACCTCAGAAGCCATACAAGAAGGGACCGACTGAAATCTAAGGCTCACAATTATGCATTTCATCGCTCTCCAATGGAAAAACATGCATATCCACTTTTGGCAAAATACTTTTACCGTAGATGGAACAGTGTACCAGCAGATTTGTATTAATAGAATTCTTGTCTTCATTTTGTTCAGGTGTTTTATGAGAAATGTTTTTCTGTGCTCTTGAAAAATACGTTTTTTGGAGATGCATGTCTGTCATCTGAAAATATTCAAAACTTTACAAAACATGTGAGAGCCAAGATTGTTATAATAATTTTGCTAATGTCGTTTGTGAAATGATCAATCTACTAAGTTTTGTTGAAATAATTTGTATTTTTAATTAAAAAAAGGCCAACATGGAATCTGTGCGCACAGATTTCTTCAGAACTGGAAGACCCGTCATTCATATCCCTCATCCCTAGTGTGTTTATTACATTTTTTTGTAGTAAAGTCATCTCAGTTTGGCACATTTGACCTTGTTTAAGTCTATTACTCAGAATTCTGCAGATTTTCTCTCAGAGAGTCCACATTTTCAACATGAAAACGCCCATCTGGGCCGAGTCAAGCCCAACTGAGTGATTGTGGTTTTTAATGTGATTTTAATTGCAAATTAAAATGTTGTAATAAGTTGTATTTTAATAATCATAATTCAAATCATTAAAATAATATTGAAAAAATAAATATTAGTTATGATTTAATGTGTTCTTAGGCCCAGTTTGTGGAGTTAGATTGGTCTTAGTTGCAAAACACTACGTGTGTGTGTGTGTGTGTCTAAAAGTGAAAGGGAATCAGGCCAAGTGGCATCACAGCACTGGGAAGTGGAAGTGAAGTGATAGATCTGAAGGAAGGAAATGAGGGACAATAGAAAGAAAGAGAGATTGTTCTATTGATGTGTGTGTGTGTGTGTGTGTGTTTGGAAAATGAGGGGGCATTGAGTTCACTTTAGAAGTTCATTATACTGTGAATGTGATGAATGATAATATCTTTTTGTCAATTTATGTTTTTATATAAAACATTTTTTTTGGTTTTGTTTAGATTTTCATTTTGTGTTTTTTTTTTTGTTTTAGTTTTTTTCTTTGTTCTTGTGTGTTTTGGTTTTTGTTTTTGATTTGGGGTGAATTGTTTCAGTGAAATTCACACAAATACATTTTTATATATTATGTGATGTTATTTATTGAACATCTGTGTCTTTTACAGTCTTATAAAACTAAAAACCCTCTTGACCATGGTAAACTCACTGTATAGCACAGCAGCGATTGGCTCATTAACATAAATGTCTGTATTAATGTTGGTCATGTGTCCGTTTCCATAGCGACATCACCTATAACATCCTATTTGAAGCTGTGACCACCCTTCTGGTGCTGATGTCCTATCAGCTCTTCCACAAGGAGGTTCTGAAGGAGGGGCTTATTTACGGCTACCTGACCAGAGGACGATGGTGAGGAAAAAACCCATGTTGGATTTAAACATCTCTATATCTTTAACCTCTGCATGTACATGTAAAGGACTTACACGGTTGATAATGAAAAAAAGACTAGTAATTAAACTAATGGTAAGGCACAGATATTCTACACACCTGAATAGATTTGTCTAATTGAGTTCCATTGATGCATCATAAACTTCTTAACTTGAGAACCAGAGCCAATACAAGTTAAAAGCTGTTGCCTACCGTTGACCATGGTAAACTCACTGTATAGCACAGCAGCGATTGGCTCATTAACATAAATGTCTGTATTAATGTTGGTCATGTGTCCGTTTCCATAGCGACATCACCTATAACATCCTATTTGAAGCTGTGACCACCCTTCTGGTGCTGATGTCCTATCAGCTCTTCCACAAGGAGGTTCTGAGGGAGGGGCTTATTTACGGCTACCTGACCAGAGGACGATGGTGAGGAAAAAACCCATGTTGGATTTAAACATCTCTATATCTTTAACCTCTGCATGTACATGTAAAGGACTACACGGTTGATAATGAAAAAAAGACTAGTAATTAAACTAATGGTAAGGCACAGATATTCTACACACCTGAATAGATTTGTCTAATTGAGTTCCATTGATGCATCATAAACTTCTTAACTTGAGAACCAGAGCCAATACAAGTTAAAAGCTGTTGCCTACCGCAGTGTTTTATTCTTATGAAGTTTGTCCCAGTGTGATATTGTGGCCCCCTGACCGCATTAACAGAAGGACGACTGTCAAGCATTGCCATTTCATATGCAAATGAGGGTGTTCATTAATTCACCAGATGCTCTCGTCTGGAGCTTTGCTTGAGTTCACCCACAGGGCTCGTTTGCATCGCACCAGTGATACCAAGCTTTTAAAGTTCCCTCGTTAGCTCTTCAGCACTGCAGCTGAGCTTGCATGACTGAGGTCGTTAACGAACGCTCGTCAAACCTCACCAGTGTCTTTAGGTCTGAGACGGACTCCACGCAAGTACATGAAAGAAAAGACATCTAGCTACACAAGCACCTTTGTGCAAATGAACATTGATAATACATCATTCCATCAATTTCTAGAAATCAAAAATGCAGACATTTCCATGTTACTTTAATTCTCTTTTTTTCTTTTGACATTCTTTGTTTGGTTCCCAGATACGCTAAAGCTATATAATCTAAAGCTGTACTAAAACTAATATAAAATTCCTAAATTGCCCTGTTTTCAAATAGTTTTTCTACGTTCTTGTAATCTTTAAAAAAAAAAGGGAACCATAATCAACTCATTTAAAATGTCAAAAACACATATATGTGTGTGTGTGTGTGTTTGTGTGTATAATTGTGAAAAGAATAAATTATTTGATCATCCAATTACTGCTGCCATGATCACTAGAAAATGTATGCAAAAATTGCTTTTAAATAAAATTCTGTTTACCGCCTGATTTTTGCCAATAAGATGTAATATTTCATAAACCAAGTTTACATAGAAAAGAGGCATGTTTGACATTGACATTGACTTAATATAAATATTTTTATGGCTTAACACTACACCAGCACAGGGTTCGATTAGATATTTAATCATGGTTTTGCACATAATTATAATGTGCAAAAGTGCCTTCTAAAAAGTTACTTTAGAATTATTTATATACTATTATAGTATTTATTCATAATTAAAATTTATATTTTCAGGTTTAATTATAGTGTGCTTTAATTTTTATTTTACTTAAAAATATTTTATATAATATCTGTCTGTCTGTCTAATCTAAATGAGCTTTAATTTATTTTTATTTCACTTTTAGTTTTAGTAATCTTAGTACTTCAGTTTCATCTTATTTCAGTTAGTTGCCGAGGCAAAATTTCAAATTTTCATTACAAGTTTTTCTTTTAATATTTATGGTCTATTGTATTTCATCTTTATTTTAATTACAAAAAAAAAAAAAACTTTTAGTTAACAGTAACAACAGCATAACTGTTTATTGAATATAGTACGTTTGCTAATTCTCTCTGTCTGTCTGTGTGTAGTCTGTCTCTGACGAGTCGTCTGGTGAAGACGCTGCTGTATAACTTCATCAGACAGGAGAAATGTCCTGCCGCCACACACGTGTTGCAGACGCAGTCAGACGGAGGAGGCATGCTGTACGGACTCGCATCAGGAGTCGCCAGTGAGTTCAAACACACTCTGTCCTGATCTCACACCTATTAAACACACGTTGCTCCTGTTTGCCATTTGAGTAAAGTATATTATTATTATTATATTGAAGCAATTCAGTTTCATTCCTTTTGTTTGATGCGCCAAGTCTGAGCTTGAGCTTCTTACCAGATTTGTGAATGAATCATTCAGATCTGAATCAACCGATTCACTGAAAAGATAAATTTTTTAGGTAAACTATTCCTTGAGTAGAGTATATAAACACTGAACTTCACACACTGGCTCTGGAAGACTGTGGTGAGGTGAGTTTGTTGGTTACGGCTCAGCAGCATCATTTGCTTAAACGATGCCCGTGTTGTAAGATGAACGTCCGGGTCTGTAGAGGTTGAACAGGGTCTGATTACTCTTTCAGATAATAATATTTGTTTTAGTTGTAAATAAACCCTTCAGTCCAGTTCTCCTGAATTTGCATGTGAAAAATCCCCACATACACCTTATTCACATGCCCATTTTGTTCAGCTTTGTCTTTTATCACTCTCATAAAATATTTCTGTTTTTTTGTAAACACACTTTTGTTTGACAGGCCTGTCAAAACCGAAACCCAGAGCATATGAGTGTTTGCTTTGTGTGTTATTGACAGTTGTGTCTGTCTGTCTGTCTGTCTGTCTGTCTGTCTGTCTGTCTGTCTGTCTGTCTGTCTGCTGTCTGGCTCGCTCAGACGTGTCAGCAGAAGTGCACACACACTTTTCATTGTATGGACTCAACTCTTGGCTGGATCATTTACTTATTATAGAGTTACACACTCCGTTTCATTTTGAGTTTTTTATTCCAATTTAGTTGTTTTATGTGTTTTCAATTTTTTTCTAGTTTCAGTTTAGTTGTAGTTTTTGAATTCAAGTTTCATTATTTTATTTTTTTGTAGTTATAGTTTCAATTTTATTTTTGTAGTATTTAATAAACTTTGATGTCATGTGGCGATTACCAATATGTGAATAAAATATATTTTTTAATGCAAGTTTTCTTTTCAAAAAGCGTTCACACTTCACCGTCTGCACTCCACATTGGTAATTGCTGCATCATGTCAAAGAATATTAAATACTAAATATAAAATGAATATTAAAAATGAAATACAAAAATAAAATTCAAATTAAAACTAACTATAAAAAACATTTTATTAAACTTAAAGAGAACCATATCATGAAAGCAATGGAAAATTAAAAATGAAACCAATTTTTAGCTTATGATATTTGCTATTTCATAAACACACACACACATTATTTATATATATATATATATATATATATGTGTGTGTGTGTGTG